TCTCTCGCCGCTTCAACGTTCATCCTCTGACTCGTTGCTCTCCTCTGCCTCGTTCTGCGACACCGCCGCCGCCTGCCGGTCCCTTGCTCTCGCGGCTTCCGTCTCGCCTCTCGGCGTAACTCCGCTCTCCTCTCAGCATATTTTGACCTCGTTGCAGCGAGAATCGGCGAGGGCCGAGCGACTGCGAAGAGAGATAAGAAGACCAAGACGCCCAAGGATGAGCGACCGCTAGCACCACACACAGGGATTTTTAAGGAGAGGAGTGTGGTGCTAGCCGTCGCCCACCCTTGGGCGTCTGCCTCTTCCTATCTCTCTTCGCAGTCCCTCGGCCCTCGCCGATTCTCGCTGCAACGAGGCCAAAATACGCCGAGAGGAGAGCGGAGTTACGCCGAGAGGCGAGACGGAAGCCGCGAGAGCAAGGGACCGGCAGGCGGCGGCGGCGTCGCAGAACGAGGCAGAGGAGAGCAACGAGTCAGAGGATGAAGGTTGAAGCGGCGAGAGAGAGAACGACGAGAGTGAGACGACCGCGGGGTGGTATGAAGATTGCAGCGAGAATCGGCGAGGGACTGCGAAAGAGAGATAGGAAGAGGCAGACGCCCAAGGGTGGGCGACGGCTAGCGCCACACTCCTCTCCTTCAAATCCCTGGTGGTGGCGGCGTGCCGTCCTCCCATCCCTCCCTTGGGTTGTCTAACAACAATAAGGAAGGCCTACCAGTGACCCACGACGATCTCCCAGCGTCCACACCAGTGCGGGTAAAAGTTCGCCCACTCTCTCTCGTGCCCCAAACCGAGTCCTCTCTACAGTTCCATACATACCCGAACGAAAATACCTGGAAACCCCCGGGTATTTTCGGGTTTTAGGTTTTACCCGGGTTTTTGGCAATGTCTGCTTGAAGCTTGCTGCCCACCTGAACAACAGCAGTAACAACAGGACAAAAACAGTAAAAATTGGGCTGGGGAGAAACGCTTGAACAACGTTGAGGATTTCAGCCAACAATAGTGCAGAGAACTGTTAGGCCCAAAGTTAACGTTTGACAGCTCTATACAAGACTCCCTCCTCCCCTGGCGATCTCTCTCGACGACTAGCGTCTAGCGAGACCTTTCTCCAGCTTCTCACTGGCAGTCTCTCGCTGGCGGTTTGTACTCCCCGGCGGCGCGGCGAGCGGCATAGACCTGTCGTGCCGCCTGCGAGCTCGTTTGCGTCCGAGCCGTTGGGCAGCTGGAGCGATGCCGCGGCCGTCATCGTGAGTCGTGCGTCGGCGGCGCCAGGGGGCCGCTCTGCCAGCTCTGCCAGTCGCGCAGCGAGGGTCGCCTCCCAGCCTGCCCCCTCGGCCACAAAGTGGTCCGCCACATACTGGCTGCTGGCCGGCAGTGCGACGCCCTCGGCGGCGGGTGCGTCTGGCGTCCCGTCTGGAGCCTCGAGGTGGTAGCCGTACGCGGGGGCGGCCTGCTCGAAAACGCTGAGGAGCCGGCCGCCACAGACCCTCTCCAGATCGATCGGCAGCCAGCGCAGGTGCACGCCCGCTCCGCAACCCGCCGCCACGACACTCCACTGGCGCCACACCCTCGGCCGCGCCCACGCCGCCGCCCAAGGCACGAGCGGCACCGCAAGCTTCCATCCGCCCGCGCCGCCCCCGAACTCCCTCACCAGCCGTGCGACCCTGTACATGAAGCCCTCGAACGAAGCCTGCGCACGCAGCAGCACCTCTGGCCACTGCGGGGAGAGTATCAGCACGCGCTGCGGCGGCGCCTCGGCAGACACCGCAACCGCAACTGGCGGCGGAGGGCGTGGCTGCAACGCGGCAATCACCAGCGGGCGCAGCCGGCGTACGCCATAGCCCGCGAGGTGGACCGCTGTGGCCGGCTCGCACTCGCGCTCGGCCGCGCGCAGCGTCTTGATCCGTTTGGTCTGGTCGGGCCACCAATGCGCAAACATGGTCGCGTGCGATGCCACCGCCAGCTGCGCTGCGCCAGAACGCCGCACGCCGCCGCCGACGCCGCCGATCGGCCTGCGCACGTCGACCGGCACTGGCAGGGGCACCATTCGCCGGCCCTTGTACAACCCGTGCGCCTCCTCGTGATATCGTGCCAAGAGCGCCTCCGCGCCGCAGGCATCGCCGCCTTCAGACTCTGTGGACCCACTGACGTACACCGAAACCGGAGGATGCAGCCCCATGAGAAACTGCACGCGGCCGACCGTGCGGTCGTAGTACGTTTGGCGCGCGCGCCTCGCCACGGAATCACCCTCTTCGCAAAGCTGGCGAGGCACCGCCCCTCGGGTGACGGGTTGCCACGCGGCGATGTCCTTGCCAAGCATCGGGCGGAGCACCTGCCAAGGAGTTGTGGAAGGGTGCGCGTCGGGCGCGCTGGGGGCAGAGTGGCAGCAAGGGGGCGGGGGGGCGGGGGAGGGCGGGTGGACGGGCGGGCGGGCGGGCGGGCGGGCGGGCGGGCGGGCGGGCGGGCCGCGTGCCTCGAACGCCGCGTCGGTGCGGAGGGCGAGCGAGTTGACAATCTCGTTCAGTAAACTCTGGTCGCAGCCGCCGCAGTCGCCAGTTACGATGGAGACTACCTCGAGGCGGTGGAGCCACTCGCTGAGCAGCCAGCCCACCGTCAAGTCGGCGGCGGCGTGCACGTGCCGAAAAGCGAGCATCCCGCTATTGAGCGGCATATGGTCGGCCTGGCCGATCACGGACGCGGCGCGGAAGGCCGGAATGTCCCACTGCAGCGGCCGCAGGAAGGCCACGTCTGAGTCGGTGACGAAGACATCGGCGCCGCCCTCGATGAACAGCCGCGCCAACGCGTAGATCTTTGCGCACAGCACCTCCGCGAAGACGGTGTGGAAGCAGCGGCGCGTGAAGAAGCACGGTAGGCCGGTGGCAGCGGCACAGACATTGGGTGAGGGTGTCGCCAGGTAGACGTAGTCGGCGCGGTCGGAGCCCTGAACCAGCTGCGTGTGTATGGATGCGGCTGCGCGGATCCCTTTCAAATTCGTCGGGATCAGCGAGTAGAAAAGGCGGCCATCTTTGCGGCGTCTGCTGCGGGCCAGCTGCAGCGGCGAGTCGTCGAGGCTGTAGGCCAAAGCGAGTGGGTGCCGGCACGCATCGTCGGCGCATGGCTCTTCCATCGGGCAGCTCTGCAGGCAGCGCGCGACGGAGCGCAAGGGATCTTCCCGGCGGCTGCTTCCATCGGTGGCGCACGCGCAGTTGCAGCGCAGCACGGAGCTGGAGACGTTCTGGCTGATTCTGCTGCAGTGCCCATGTTTGGCAATGCTGAGCCAGGTGCGCGCCGCTTCAAATGCGGGCATGCGCAAAGCCTGGGCATCGCTGAAGTCGACTGCGATCGTGGCGTAGCGAGGAGGTTTCTGCTGCAGTGGCATCGAGCACTCTTTGAACCATGAGCAGTCGTCGGGCCTATAGCTTACGTACCGACAGGCCGGGCATCGTTTGAGGCACATGAGGGCACATGCCGTGAGCGAGGTGATGCCGTGCTCAGAGGGAACCCACGAGCCTGACGAGCCTTTGAGGCAGTCACCCTCCGCGGAAGCTGTCTCGGCGCAGAAGCCCGGCTGACGCTGCTGAAACGGTGGTTCGATCGTCGAGAGCGTCGCCATCAATCACGTTGCATGCGCGCACAAGAAGGTCGGAAGGTGGAACAAGAAGCCCGACCAGCTCTCAAACTCAGGGCCCGATTTGATTGGTTTTCTTGGTCTTGAGCACTTGAGCACTGAGCACTGGATAGGGTCGATTCCGCACGGTACGGGACCCCTCGATCGTCTCCAGAGCTCGCCCTCCCTCACTGGTGTGTTCATTGGGGAGGGGTGGGGGGGGGGGGGGTCATAAAAACACGGCACATACGGGATCGAGGTGCCGTTGGGCTGAGGGTATCTTTGTTGAGTGCATTCTGGATTGCGCATCTGGGCGGGCACTTTTGGTGGTGGTGCGCACTCTGCACAGCGCCACCGGCGCCGCGTCGGAGTGAGTGGCGGCCGCCACTCACTCGCGTGGTGCGTTGAGGCCTCTCCGGAGAGCCCTTGTCACCTGAGGGAGGGTGTAGAGGATGTAGAGTGTAGAGCGCTGTAGAGCTGTAGAGCTGTAGAGCGCTGTAGCGCTGTAGAGCTCTACATCCGCCGCGGGACGAACTGCATGCGTTGTAGAGCGATGTAGAGGCGCTCTACAACGTGAAATCTCTACAACAAACTCTACAACGCGGGTTCCGTGGTCAACGGGCGTTCGACCACACCACCGGCCAAGGCTACGTCAAGTCACAGCGTGGCCACTACCATGATGGGATCTTCACCAAACGAAACAAGTTCAACCTGCTTCTCCACGAGACATTCGGCGGCGGCTTCTCGCCGCCAGCAGTTGCAAAGATCAACCGCCTTGCGCGCAAGGCTCAACGCTCGGGCGTTGACCGCACCGCGTACCCTCCCCACTCCCGCCTCTCATTTGTGTCACACCACGCGGAACGCATCTCCATCGATCGCTTCGGTGAAGGGGGTGAACCGTGCCATCCTCGATCGCCGTGCAAAGCTCGCTTCCGAGCTCTCACGCCGCGCGTAGGGCCCTTAGGGGCCTAGAGAACACAAACACCCTCTCTCTTTTCTCCCAGTGAGCTATAAGTACGTGTACATCAAAAGCGGCGAACGAGGCACGGTCGCTCTCCGACATGAGGCGCGTTGCACTTGCCAGTGCTGTCCTGGCCTTCTGTCTGCCCGCCCAATGGGTGGCAGGTGCCTCTGCTGCTGTGGCATGCCTCACGGCTGCGACTGGCCGGCGCCTCGGCGCGTCAGCTCAGCTCGGCGTAGCGATAGTGGCCAGCGCAACTTGCCTGGACTCAACGCTCAGCCAGGAGCTCCCGCACGCGCTGGCGCGAGTCATGGCGCATGCAACGCGCAGCAATGCTCGCCTCGCCTCGCGCAAATGCGACCGTCCTCGCAGCCGACAGTCCACCGCCTGCTAAAGAAGCACAGCGACGAATGCGGCACTGGCGACGCATGGCAGGCTGGTCATGACGCAGTTATAGGGTGTTGCGTGCCGTCAGTGTGACTCTCTGTGTGTCAGGGATAGTCAGGGCCGTCCATCAGAGCTCCAGTAAGCTCGGAGACACCCCATTAGCGCGGCTCGACCTCTTTGAGTCACTGCCTTCCCGCGGTTTTGCTGTAGAGCCTCTACAACAAACTCTACAACAAAATCGCGCTCTACATCGCTCTACAACGCACGCAGTTCGTCCCGCGGCGGATGTAGAGCTCTACAGCGCCACAGCGCTCTACAGCTCTACAGCTCTACAGCGCTCTACACTCTACATCCTCTACACCCTCCCTCAGCTTGTCACCACCGGCGGCCGCCGGGTGTTGTTCGATTCTATTAAATGCCCACATGTTTTGGCGGGCACTTTGAGAACGCCCAGCCGGGTTTGGCTAAGCTAACAGTCGGTCGATGGACTTGAGCGCCCTTGTTGCGGCCCGGAAGCGAGAACGCCCCCGCACCCTGCTCGGCCGAGCGGTCCCGTCGCAGCCCACCAAGCAGGTGCGCACCAAGTCGCCCGCGTCGGAGGCTCCGAGGCCATCATGTTCGGCAGCGCAGAAACGCCCCAACGCGCCGCCCAGAGCCCTGAATTCGCAGAGCGGTGCGACGCCGTAGCACTCTCCTGCTGATATGATGTGCTGCGCGCGCTAGGCGCACCCTGCCGCGCGGTACACGGGACCCCGCCCCATCCCACGACCTGCTCCCAGAAAACTGCCACTCCATCCCCGCTCGTCATCGCGTGGCCCCACATTCTCAGAAACAATGACGCTATTTCCCCCCTTCGCGGCGGCAGGAGCAACTAACGAACGACTCCCGTCACGCAAAGAAATACACCGCAAAACGAAATCGTCGGGATCAACGAGTAGAATCTAGAAAAGATGGCCACGGGAGAGACGAGACCGGGAGATACCGGGAGATCCGGGAGATACGCTCGAGATACCCGGGAGAGCATGCGTAGACATAGGTGGGTGCGGAGAGGGGGGGGGGGGAAGAAAAGTGATTGCCGCGTCGAGCGACTGACCTTGCGGTCCCTGGACTTTCTTTGGTTTAGTTAGATGCTGGTTGGTGGCAGAGAGAGAGAGAGAGAGAGAGATCTGCTTCCCTTCGATTCCCTCGTGCTTAGCTAGCATGTCTTAGCTCCCTCGATTGTGAGAACAATTAAAATATCGACCGAGAAAAAGTCATCCTATTTCGAACATCCTATTTCGAACAGCCGAGATAGCCGAGACATGTCGCCGTTCAGACGCCATCCGCCATTCCCCCCCCCATCCAGTCGGTTCATAGAATCGGTCCGCAGCTTTGCCATGGCGAAGCGCCGCCGCGAGGACGAGGTGGCGGCACCCGTCTCCCAAGCCGTTCGGGCGGGGCTCAAGCTGCAGCGCGAGGACCCGCAGCGCGCCTTCCTGCATGCTTGCCGTCTCCAAATGCGAGTGATGATGGCCGCAAAAAACCCTCTGACCGAGCCGCTGCACAAATTCTCCCACGGCCAAGGGGTCATATGGCGGGAGGACTCGCCGCCCGAGACGCCTGCCCTGTCCGCCTCGAGCAGCTCCAGCGACCTCTCCTCGGGCTGGAACATGGGGCCGCCGGTGGAGGACGACTTTGCGATGCTTGTGGACGAGCTTGAAGACCTGGACGAGGTGGCGTCCGTGGCGGCGGAGCAGTGGGCCTCGCAACTACGGTAGTCGCGAGAGGTGGCGGGTCGGAGGCGCCGCCCCTTCCCCGCCAGCTGATGTATTGGTCCTCTCGGGGAAAATGCCCTCTGCCACAGCACCGGCCACCCGCACCGCGCGTGTACAGTACTCGATCGTTTTGAGAGCGCCGCGTGTCCGGCTGGAGTGTGCGATGGCTCCGTCGCTTGCTTTCCTCGGATCCCGTCATTCCTGTGGCTGTGCTCTCACTCTTGTCTTGACACTCTCTTCGACATGTGTGACTGCTGTGTGTGCCAGAGAGAGAACAGACCATGGGGATGGACATACTCAATAGAGACCAGCGCAGACCACACACTGTCACTGAAAACCTTTGAGCATGCGTAGACATAGGCGTATGTATGTATGTGTGTATGTACACTTCGGCAACACCGAAGAGCGCGCCCGCCTTGCAAACACATGGGCTGCAAGCAACGCGGGTTCTGTGGTCAACGGGCGTTCGACCACACCACCGGCCAAGGCTACGTCAAGTCACAGCGTGGCCACTACCATGATGGGATCTTCACCAAACGAAACAAGTTCAACCTGCTTCTCCACGAGACATTCGGCGGCGGCTTCTCGCCGCCAGCAGTTGCAAAGATCAACCGCCTTGCGCGCAAGGCTCAACGCTCGGGCGTTGACCGCACCGCGTACCCTCCCCACTCCCGCCTCTCATTTGTGTCACACCACGCGGAACGCATCTCCATCGCTTCGCCTTCGGTGAAGGGGGTGAACCGCGCCATCCTCGATCGCCGTGCAAAGCTCGCTTCCGAGCTCTCACGCCGCGCGTAGGGCCCCTAGGGGCCTAGAGAACACAACCCCCTCTCCCTTTTGTCCCAGAAAGCTAAAAGTACTGACTACGTATGGCGTAGGTGTACGTAGGTGCGGAGAGGGGGAGAGGGGGAGAGGGGGGTGGGGAGAGAGGGCTGGCGGTGGCGTCCTCAGCCGCCACAGCCAGGCAAGCCTTGAGAGAATGGACGACTCCTGGGTGTCCGACATCTCCAAGGGACAGGGCAGTGAGGCTGCAGGCGACGAGTGCTCGGTGGACTCGCACGACAGCGATCTGCTCGACGGTGTGCTCCGCGAGAACGAGCGATACCGGATCGAGGCGGAGCTCTTGCGCGCACGCCTCGCAGAAGTGGAGCTCGATCGTGCACCCGCAAAACCCGTCCAGACGATCGCGGCGCCGTCGAGCTACCGCTGGTCCACCGTCGGCGTCTTTGTCTGCATCATCTGCTCTTGCGCGCTTGTGGTCAGCCACGAGCGGCGAGAGACACGTATTGCCGAGGAGGCCGCAGAGATGCTCCGCCGAGCGCTCAACAATTCCCGCGCCGAGTACGACGAGCTGCTGGTCCATTACTCCACCCTCAAGGAGCATCGCACCTGCGCCCTGGAACGGGAGGAGCGCAGCCTCGGCCTCGCCCCGGCCCGGGGTCCACTAGACGTGCTACTCGCCGCAGCCCACGTCGTGCTGCGGGCGGGCAGGCGGCTCCTGCCGCTCGATCTGGGGCTGCCCGGCTTCAAGCGGCCTTCGGCCGTCGAATCGGCATGATGAGCTCACAGCTTGCTCGATTCGGGGTTCGGCACTCGCAAGGTGCGCGCCCTCAACGGGTATAGATTTGGGAGAGGAGTGCTGCTGCAGGAGGCGGTGTCATTGTGAAGCTCTTCTCGCCGCGGCTCCCACTCACTTGTCCCCGCTGTGCACTCCCGATCTTCCATAATCTCGTCGGTCGCGCTCTGTTCTCTGGTGAGTGGACTGGTGTCGGCCATGCGCGTGAATCTGAATGTGCGGGCGTCTCACACACCTGTCTCAACTCTCATGACTTCGGCGCGCCCCTGCACAGAAGCGCAACTCCGCCAATCGTTACTACAGTACGAGTCATGCTGACTGTTTCCCCTCGAGGATCACAATCACCACAATCACTACACAGACTGCCGTTGTGCGTTGAGCCTTGCCCGAGGCCGAGGCCCGAGGCCGAGCGACACATTTGTCTTAAATACTTTAACTTTATATCTCGGCCAAGGCCTTCATCTCCGCGCCGGTGAGATTAAAGCTGAAGCTGCCCAGATCGCTCGCGAGGTGAGCCGGGTTGCTGCTGGCCGAGACGGCCACGACTCCCTGCTGCGTCACCCACCGCAAGGCCACCTGCGAGGCCGACCGGTTGTGTGCGGCAGCGACCTTGAGCACGCGGGGGTGGTGCAAGACGTCGACGCCCGAGAGGCCGCCCAAGGGCGAGTAGGCGGAGAAGGCGATGCCCTTCTCGCGGCACTTTCGGAGGGTGTCCAAGTCGCGGCCGAGGCGGCTCTCGCTGTGGCCGCCGATCGAGAAGCCAACTTGGTTGACTGCGGGCGGGACCGTCAGGCCGGCTGCGAAGAGAGCGTCAATCGCGGAGGCGTTGAAGTTTGAGATTCCGATGGCGGAGGCCTTGCCGTCGAGAGCGAAGCGCTCGAGAGACCGATACGTCGCGACCGTCTCCTCCATCGTCGCGCAAGGCCAGTGGAGCAGCAGCAGGTCGACGCGAGCCACGCCCAGCAGGCGCGCGTCGATCTCCGAGCGGGTGTAGGCGTCGAGGTCCTTGTACTCCTTGTCGTACCACACGCACCACGAGGTGAAGCTCTCGGCGGGGCAGCAAGGCACCTTGCTGGTGAGGAAAAGCTCTTCGCGCGGCAAGCCTGACGCCGCCACCGCATCGCCGACCTGGACCTGTTCACAGTCACGGGTGTGAAGAGACGCCGTTCACAGCGCCGCCTTCGCATCGCCGACCTGGACCTGCACGTCGTCGCCATACATCATCGCCGTGTCGAGCCCGCGCCCGCCGAGCTGTAGCCTGGGGTCAGATTCGGGGCTAGGGATACGGGTTGGGGTGTGGGGTAAGGATTGGGCCGAGGGGTCAGGCTCGCACCAGGCGCTGTAGTTTGAGGGGTGGGAGTGCACGCCGCCGAGGTTGATCAGCGGCATCTCGACGCCCGGGGCGATGGTGACTGTCGGGATGCGCGGCAGCGCTTCCGAAGGCGGCGGCAGCGAAGCCACGTCGTTGGTCCCGATGCGGACGTCGCAGACGTGGTGCCCGCCGGCGCCGCCTCCGCCGCAGTACCAGCGCAGGAGCGGCCTGCCGCGGGAGGGGCAGCCGTGCGCCTAGGAAGGTTCAGAGAAGGTTCAGGGAAGGTTCCCAGTGCCTGCCGCGGGAGGGGCAGCCGTGCGCCTCGAGGTCGTGCACGTGAGACTCGAGGCACGCGTCGCAAGCGTCGCCGCGGCCGCGGAGGCCATGGCAGAGCTCGGCGAGCCTTCCGACGCACGCGCGCGAGAGCGGGTCCTGCGGCAAGTGCGGGCACGAGCCACCTCCGCCTCCGCCGCACGGCAGCTCGCCGCAGTCGTCGGCGAGGCGCGCCGGCGCGCCGCCCGTCTCGAAGAACCACGCGGCGAGCGAGTCGAGCATCGACACGCCTAGGAAGGTTCCGAGAAGGTTCAGGGAAGGGTCCCAGTGCGGCGAGCGAGTCGAGCATCGACACGCCTAGGAAGGTTCCGAGAAGGTTCAGGGAAGGGTCCCAGTGCGGCGAGCGAGTCGAGCATCGACACGCCGCGGATGAGCGGCGCGGCGCTCCAGCCGAGGTTCGCGGCGTGGCTCAGGCAGGACGGGGCGAAGTAGCCGTGTGGAGTTGCCTCGGAGCCGAGATCGCGGAGTGTACCCCTCACCCACCTGCCCCACTGGCGGAGGTACGAGGTGTCGTTGGCGGTGAGGGCGGCGCTGGCGTCGCAGCCGCAGTTTGCGAGCTTCGCCGTGTCGTACTGGTTCTCGCGCACGAAGAGAGGCGTCGCGAGCGCGCGCCACGCAAAGGCGGCGTCGGTGCACTTTGAGGCCTCGCCTGTGGGACCTCTCTCGGACATGTCACGGACCCGTCCGCGACTTGGCCGGTGCACGTTGCGGCCTCGCCCGGATACAGCGCGGCGCAGCGCGGCGAGACGTACGGCGCCCACTCGGCCGCGAGGCCTGCAGTGCGGCGGAGGGACGCCGGTGAGGCCGCGCGGAGCTGCGGGGCGGAGCAGCTGCGGGGCGGAGCAGCTGCGGGGCGGAGCAGCTGCGGGACGGAGCAGCTGCGGGGCGGAGCAGCTGCGGGGCGGAGCAGCTGCGGGGCGGAGCAGCTGCGGGGCGGAGCAGCTGCGGGGCGGAACAACTGGGGCCCGGAGCAGCTGCGGCGGAGCGGGCCGGGCGAGAGGACCGAGGCGACGGGCCGGAGTCGCGTCGCCGTTGATGAAGTCCCTCTCGGACGAGACGGCCGGGTAGAAGAAGCCGGCTGCGGGCGCCGCCTTGACGGTCGCCGCCGGCCACGCAGCAGCAAAGTAGTCGGCGTGCAGCAGGACGCCGATCCCGCCCGCGCTCGAGCCAGAGAGGAGCACGAGCGAGGGCGCCAGCGCCGGGAGGCTCCGGCGCAGCTGCGCCAGCGTGGCGTTGATCAAGTTGTGGCCCGCGAAGTAGCCGCCGCCGAGCGCGTGCGAGGGCGTGAGCCGCGTGCCGGAGTGCATGTCGGCAGAGCAGTATGGCACGAAGAGCTTGTTCCAGTCGTGAAAGTGCGGGTTGACGCTCGAGTCGTCACTTAGCTCGTCCTCTCCCAGGCGCTTCGTTTTGGGCCATCCGGCCGATCCCCTCCCAGCGCCACCGTCCCACACGGCGCACTCCGTGGCTGACCGGCACTCGCCGCCACCCTGCAGAAAGACAACCAGCTTGGTGCCGTTCTGCGCCGACGAGGCGGCGCGCCAGTAGAATCCGCCGCCCGAGCCGTCAAGGCAGCGAGCACCGGCGCTGGTGACGAGGTCGGCATCGAGCCGAATGAGCGAGGCGTGACCCATCGACTGGCTGCGACCAGCGAGCATCCTCCCCACTAAGTGCGCTTCTTAGGATTCCTAGCTAGCTGGGTGTGAGGAATGACTGGACACCAAGCTCCAAGTGCCTCACGACACCGCGTACAGTACTAGCCCGCCTCAACCCACTTTACCCATGTGCATACTATTATACTAGTAGTACTCGAGTACGGGACTGGCAGAGTAAAGGACACAGCAGGCGGCCCCCTCAGGGGCCGTCGTCATCGAACAAGCAAGTCGATCTCTGCACAACAAAGACTTGTAAAATTCTCCCACACACAACACTAGGCTGCACGGGCGGGACGCGGCGGGAGTCGGGACTGGCGCGCACTGCCAGTCTGCCACTGGCACTAACACAGGTAAGAAAGAATTCCCATTACGCACTGAAAGAATTCTAACAACAAGTCCCTCTCACAGAAGATTGGCGCGGACTGTGGCACAACAAATGGCACAGAAAAAAATTACAGCGGGGGGGGGCTGGCGCGCGCACTGGCTGGCACTAACACACAGGTGTACACCACGAAGAAAGAATTTAAACAACACAACTCCCTCTCACAGCAGACAGGCTCGACACAGGTGCGAACTGGCGCGTGCTAGCACTATCACAGGCACACTAGAAGAAAGAATTTCTGTTTTCTAACTTTCTTCAAAGAGAGATACGTCCAGTCACACAGCACGCTGGCACGACACGGGTGTGGATCGGCCGGCGCACACTAACTAGCAAGCATGGACGATCGGTCGGCACGCCGGGGGCCCACGAAGTGGCGGCCGACACGGAGGAGCATGGACCCGTTCCCCCGAGAGCGGACGTGGTACGTGGAGGATAGCTAGCCCACACACTCTCTCGGTGTTTGTTCCCTCTCTCTCGGTGTGCGGTGGCGGTAGTCTGTGCCGTTCCCCTCCACGCTCCACCCCTCCTCAGCGCCCTCGCGCCTCGGCGCTCTCAGAGGCGTCTCTCTCGATTTTTCGTCGAAATACGGAACGCTAATTGATCGCGCTTGCGCAAATACACCCATGCAAGAGATAATTAATACAACCCATCTTCGTGACGTCGCTGTCTATCGTGTTGACGTTCCCTCACACGTAGGCCAGCTACGGAACGCAGCTACATACTACATACACGAGAACACGACTAGAACGGCAGCTCCTCCACTGCACCTCGCAACCAAACAGATCGCACGTGCGCGAGGTTAGTGTGGCCGCCGCGCGTCGGCGAAACCTAGGACTTCCCCGGCCCCCAGAGGCAAATTGTGGCGTCGAACGCGCCCGTCGCGAGGCACGTCCCGTCGGGTGACATCTGCATGCAGGAGATGACACGCATTCGTGAGTCGTGGTTCTGGTTCTTCACGTGCGCCGCAACCTTCTTGGCGTACCCCGACTCCGACGAGGCGAGGGGGTCCCACAGGCAGACGTGCCCGTCCTCGTAGGCGACGTACATGGTGCGGCCCGACTGGGAAAAGTCGACCGCCGTCACGTGGTTGTTTTTCCGGCTGTACTTTTGCAGCGCCGCTTGCGCCCGGAGGTCAAAGAGGAAGACGCTGCCGTTCTGCGTGCCGGCGGCGACCGCCGTCCCGCTCGGGAAGAAGGCGCAGCCGTTGCACTCGCCGACGACGTCGAACTTGTGCGTGCACTCCCCTGATCGCATGTCCCACACGCGAGCTGTGCCGTCGCTGGACGACGTGCAAAACGCCTGG